ACTCTTTTTTTTTTTCTTTTTTGGGGGCCTTAATTTAATAGCTCTGTGATTCTCATACAGAAGATTTTGAATCAGATATAGCTCTAGTATCTGTAGCTTTAGCAATATAAGTATTCTGACTTTTATATCATTCATTTAAGAGTCTTTTCCCTCCTGAGAACACACTCTGTGTGGAGCCATGTACCAGGAACTGGGAACAAACAGAGGCACCTGTGCCTCGTAGGAACTTATAGGCATGCAGGTGGGGACACAGACATTCAAAGAATAATTGCACTCATCCAGGTATGACTAAAGGTATATAATCTGAGGATTCTGTGAGATGATGTAATAAAGGAAGCTGACCAGGTCTGGGAGTTTGCAGGCTTTCTCCTTGTGGTGAGACCTAAAGGGTAAGGAAGAGAAAGCAAGGGGCTGCTGCTACAGGGGGAGTGTGTGAATTAGCACCACATGGTCCAGGAACTGAAGGAAGTGCCCGCAAATGTGACTTGACGTGAGGCAAGAGGGAGGCAGCACCCGATCCCACAGGCCCTGCAGGTCGAAGGTGGATCATGCTCTTTACTCCATGAGTTAGAAAAAGCATGTGAACTGGTTCCTGGTACAGCATAAATGTTGATATGATATTATTATTCTTTACTTTAAAAACTGTATTATTAAATAATATTAAATCTTACTATTTATTTTAAGAGCAAAGGGAAGCCACTCAAGGATTTGGAGCAGGGGTATGACATATGACAGCCAAATGTACATTTTATACCTAACTCTTGCCACTGTATAGAAAGACTGGAGAGAGCAGGTTGGTGCCAGCAGCTGTGAGAAGCCTAGAAACCAGTGTAGCTATTTAACAGACAGGATATCAGAGCAGACACTGTGGCTCATCCGTAGCCTGGAGCTTGGTTTTGCCTGTAGCCCATGACTTCAGAGGTATATAACTTGGAGGGTCTCTAAGTCACGTGAGATTGTATACGCGTAAAATTACTTTTTCAGAAGTTGTCGTCTATCCAATTTGGAATGTTCAGTGGAGCCAACTGCTGAATCCAGTGCTTGGTCTGTTTTGGAAGACATTCACTATTGACTATTAAATAGCTTGGAGAATTCATCAGGAAGGCCAAGTTTCAGAAAAGGCCCCCAAAGCCACTACAGAATGGGCCCCCACCAGAGCAGCTGCTTCTGCCTCAGTGAGGCAGCTGAGGAGGGAGGAAGCTACCCTGTGAGACCCCTGTAGTTCTTCTCAAACCTCTTTCCAACTTACTGACAAAACAGGGTGTGCAAATCAATGCCCAGAAAGCTAGCAACCAGGTACTAAGACCTCTACCATCACCATCATTAAGAAAGATAAATGTCTCTAAGAGCCTGCCTCATAATGCCATAGTCTGCCTTTTTTGGGTAGAACCTTAATCACATTCAGAACTCTGGTTGCATAGAATTTAGCTCTGCAGTATTGGAAGACTCACTAGAAGGATGTTGGAATGCATCTTGTGAGCCCATCCATGAGATGCACCATGAAACTTAACTAAATTCACCCTGACGTGAGACAGTCAACAAAGATATACATTTTATCACCTCACAATACCAGCTGTGTGCATTTGGACACTAGGGGCGGCGGAGCCTGGTGGGCTGCCATCTATGGGGTCGCAGAGTCGGACACGACTAAAGCGACTTAAGAGCAGCAGAGCCTCAACAGCCTCCTTTATCAAATTGAAGATAATGATATTTGTCTTCAAAGGTTCTTGGGGAGATGAAGTTAAATAACATGACATGGCAGGCATTCAGTAATTGAAGCATCAGCCAATCAGTGAACACCATTCTGCAACCTGCAGAGCAGTGGTCCCCAGCCTTGATGACAACAGGGCCTGGTTTTGTGGAAGACAGTTTTCCGTGGACTAGGGGGTGGTGATAGTTTCAGAATGATTCAAGGGCATTGTATTTACTGTGTACTTTGTTCCTGTTATTACATCAGCTCCACCTCAGATCATCAGGCATTAGATCCCAAAGGTTGGGCACCCCTGCTATGGAGGCAGTGGAATCCCTTAAAGATGGATATTAAATAAAGATTACTGCTAAAAAGACTTAATGGCCCAAATAGATGTAGCCCTTGTGTCAGTCCAGTGGGATTGGATGAGCATATTTTACCCTAGAAAAGTAGATGGGATTTGGTTGTGTACTGTTTCAGATATTTGTCTGTGTTAAGTTTAAAAAAATAATGCATCCACATAAATAATGGAAAGAAAATCCTTCTCCTTCAGTCTGTCAAGTTTCCTTCTTGAAATACCCCATGCATATAAACACACATGTGTCCTCTAGATTCTTCCCTTTTCTCCTGAAAAAATTGGGTCATACTCTATGCCTCTCTGCACCTATATTTATTTATTTACCCACTACCTTGAAGATCAATCCATTTCAGTTCATGTAGAACCAATCACCCATTGATGGCAACCAGTTGTTTGCCTTCTTTTGCTTTTACAAAATTTGCTCTGCCGAACATCCATTCTTGTTCATAAGTGACTATTATATCTGTAGAATTAATTTTAAGATGTAGAAAGACTAAGTCAAAGGTTAAATACTGTGTATAATTTTACTGATATGACCAAATGAGTCTCCAAACACTTATACTAGGGCTTTGCTGATCCTGTGTGAGCTGCATTTGCACCTTCATCCTTGTCAACAGTGTATCATCAACCCTTTTGATTTTTGCCAGTGAAATAAGGGAGGTGATACCAGAGTAGATCAAGATGAATCCTGACCAAGAGACAGAGGTGAGGGATTAATTCGAAGATAAGAGGTGAGAGAAGGTAGGATTTAAATATAAATTTAGAAAGGAAACTCATAACCTTCTGCCACTTACCGTATGACAGGCAGTGACCCGACGAGGCAACGTACCTGCTGTTACATTCGATCTTTATAGCCATGTGAACTCATAAACACTGTCATCTCCCATTTCACTCTGATGCCCAGTCTCTGTCCACTACACTTCCTGTGTCCTTATTTCACAGTTGAGGAAACTAAGGCCTAAAGAGGTTAAGTGATGCATCCCAAATTTCAGCGAAGTTAAGTCAGGATAAGGGTTCCACTTTCCAGCTTCATGTACACTGCATCAGGCCAGGATTCTGGCCTGTACCATTGAAGCTGCAAGGGATCTGAATATATTTTCAGGGTGTATTTCATCCACGGTTTAATAGTTGAGTTTTGAATTCAATCGTTTCCTATAGTAGAAGAAATTCTGTAATAGTTGAGTGGACATGATCTTAAATACACTAATATTTTTCATGTTAGTAATAAATTCTTCCTCAGAGATTCTCTGTTCCTTTTCATAAAAACTACTATATTTACCCAAGGAGCATTCTTGACAGAAGCTCCATGACATGAAAGCTCTAAGCTTCTTGGGATTTTAAGATTTTCTGATAAAAGATTAAGCAGCCCCTCTTGAATTCTACCCTTAGTCCTTTAGAATTTTAAAATTGGCCTGTAAATCCTTCTTAAAACACCCTTAGAGACTGAGACTGGCACCTGTGCCCTCTTCCTTATTGTTTCCTATTACTTCAGAGTTCAGGATCACTGAGATTAGAAGGTTTAGCTAGAATTTCCTCATTTCCCACTTGTTTGCAGAGTCCAGGATCTCTTCTGTGTATCTGGGCAGTTTCCACTTGAATCAGAAGTGGGAGACTGCAGGCATTCATATTTAATGAAGATAAGAAGCATTCAATTAAAGCATGAAGTCTCATTGAGGAGATGACTCTTAAATGGCACAGAAATTTGATTAATCATCCCTATTGGAAGGGTGGGATGATGTTTGAGAACATGATGAAAAGATGGGAAATAAAAATAAACTCTTTATCTGAAAAAAGTAAGCTGAGCCAATGACCTCTGTTTTTTTAAATTAAGAAGGCCTAACTTTGGAATTGTCCTAATTGGAAAATATCCTGATCATGGTCATCCTTTTACAGTAGGGCAGTGGTGTTCTAGCAGTCGAGAAATAGACCCTTAATATATTTGCCCAAAGCAAGGACAGTATAAGTGTTAAAGAATGGAATCTGAGAGCTGTAGTGATCTTAGACATGAACTAGCCTGAAGTCCAATTGTATAGACAATGAAACTGAGGCATAGTAAGTATATGCAGTTTATTCAACAAGACATTTTTGGTGACTCTAAGCCAAATCTAGAACCAAGCTCTCCTGCATTAGCTCGTTGCATGATTTAATGTCCATTATGTGATCCATATTTCATAATCTACTGAAAGAATATGATTGTTTGGGATTGTGTTTGGTTTTTTAGAATGTACAGGGATATATTTTTACAACTATCCTAAACCTAATTGTTTTTAACTAAAGAAAGGGGTACATAACTGAGAGGACTACTCTGTTAAAGAAATCGTTAAGATAAAGGCAATTAAGCTATTTTCACACAGGAAGCTTAGCTGATAAGACATGTAATCTTTTGTTTTAGAAATTCTGCTTTTAGTTTTGCAACACATGAATAAGGGCTACATATTTATACTGTCTATTGAAGTCAGGAAACAAACTAGGTAGTGTTTTCTTTGCAAATGATAAACTGCTTAGGACTTGTTTCAAATTAATTATATATGTAATCTAACAAGGTCTTTCATTGTACATTTATCAGAGCAAACAAAATGCAATGTGTTTTTATAACCAGATATCCATTTGATTTTTTTTTTTCTTTCCCACATTTGGATATAGATTGATATAGAATTACTTAAAATGCTGCATATAAATTAAACATTAAAAAGGAGATAGGGAGAGCCTAGGCTGCCTCATTATAATCTTTAGTTCTGCAGTCACTGCCTGAAGGACACTCATTTCATATCACATGTCCTTCTTTTGAAAAGTGATCACCAAGGTTCAAGTAACATTTAAGCATGGCCAGCAACTGCATGATTTATGGATTTTTTTTTTTTTGGTTTAATGTTCTTATTTTAATGAAAAACCAGGAAAACGAAGATTTTTCATACATTACCTCTCTCTTGTCCTTCCCTCCTGCCTTTGCAGATCGGGGCCTTGAAGGATTACTACCACTTCCATCACAGCAGGACGATTAAAAGGTCAGTTCTCTCAAGCAGAGGAGCCCACAGTTTCATTTCAATGGAACCAAAGGTAAGAAGAACCAGTTGGGTGGGGACCAAGAGATAGATCTTCTGCATTTTTCATTGGTAACCTCACACTAGGAGCTGGTAACTAGCACGAAGGCTTAAATTTCAAGAGCGATCATGCTATCCTTTGGTCCAGTATCTTTGTTTCCTTTTCAGACCAAAAATAGGCAATGGTTTGATTTCTTATTGAAATGCCTGTATCAGCCTAGTTGTAGAACAGCCCTGGGCTATCAGAAATAGGAGTTGTCATAGAGAAATGAAGAGGGAGTATATGTGAGGGCAGATAGGGATGTATTCAGAAATAGTGAAGTGTTAAGGAGACCATACCTTCTGCATATTTGCATACAAATCTGAAGTTCTATCTGAGCTCCATAGAGGGGTCTCTTCCAGAAGCTTCAGGTCACTGTGATCCTTGCAGTTTCAGTTGGCAATAATAGAGCCAGTCCTTTGGGAGCCCAAAGACCTGACCATGGCCTAGACCATGTCTGAGACAGGAGGAGTTCTGAGCACAGAATGGGTAGAAGCTGGCTACTTCTCTTGGGGGCTCATCAGAGATCTTTCTTACATGTCGTCCTGACCCCAATCCTTCTGAGCTATATAGAAAGCATAATCCTAGGAGAAGCTAGCAGGACATCTCTGCCTATGTCTAGATTCTCCCAGTCCATGTTGGTGGCAGTTCAGCTTTGAAATGAGAGATAGTAAGTGGTAGGGTTGTATTCGGGACAAATAGGCTAGGTAACTGGCCACTAAAGCTCTGGGGATGAGCTAAGTGTCTGTCCTTATTAAGTTGGAGGAAGGGATTGTCTCTGACAGAGAACCACTTGGCCTCCCAGATATGGCAAGTAAGGAGGAAGAGAGGACAGGGGTACCAGCCTGGTCATCTGTGGGTTCATGTTTGTTATTTACTCATTAGGAAGTGTTGCTTTTTCCTCATTATGATTAGGGTTTACTGTATGAGCTCATTTTCAAATAAATTGGTCAGCAAGTCCCTATCAGTGAGCATAACAATCTCACCTAGAGATTCCTCAAAAATTATATTCCTTATTAAAGCAACAAGGTCCCTATTTGAATTAATATGCAAATCAGGTTTGCAGTTTGGAGTCCTGCCCTCGGTTATATGCCGCAGTTCACCTTGTTTGATTTTTTTCTGGAATATTATCACACAGTGTTCATGATTGTAAAATTATATCTTGGTGGTTAGAAAAAACACTTTTGTCATAGGGCCCAATTTTCCATGGGTTAGAGGAACATCCCCTGATACTTAATACTCTGGCAGCCTGTGGATTATATAAATATATATATTTCCCCTTCATCTCTATTCAGAATTAAATGTTACTGGAAAAGCAATCTGTTAGGACGTTCTTGAATTAGCAAAGTTTTTGAAGCGGAGTCACGTTTTTCATCTGTTAACTTTTCCAAAGCTTTCTTGAACTTCAGTAATTTAAATGATTTTAATTTCAGACCTCACGCGCATAGTCAATGTGAATTTGAAAATCCGAGTACTAATCGGTTTGGGAGGTTAGAACAGAAGAAAACATAGAGCTGTTTCAATCCTTAATGTTTTCTTGGGGACGCTCAGTCTCAATGTATCAGATTGCGCATGCAGGACCCAGCCAAGAGACCTCGGATGCTGGGACGCGTAGTGCTCGGCATGTTCATCCCACCCAGCCCAGAGAAGCAGGGCTGGTTCATGCCAGCCCCAGGGTACATGCTCAGTTCCTCCTCCTGCTCAGCGAAAGGAGTAGCCCAGGGTAGGACTGTACCTTCCTCCTCATTCTGACACGCCTGCCCCTGTTTCCCACCCAGCTGTTTATACAAGAGATGCCACAATTCTACCAATTTTGCAGATGGAGGGCCCCAAATGGACAATTGCCCGCAGTTTTTTTCAGATATTTCTTAAAGTCTGATCACTCCTTCAACTGGCAATTTCTTGAGCCTCTGGGATATGCCAGCCCTGTGTTAGGCTCTGAGCATTTGTGGGTAGGGTGGTCCCCTTAGTGAGCTTGCTGCAGCCTCCCACAGTAGCTTTCAGATGTAGCTTTTTTTAATTACAAGATGTTACAGTGCTTCTCAGTGTTGGGGATGGAGGAGCAAAGGAGATGGGGTCTCCTATATTCTTCCTCCTTCTCAGTTTCCTCCTCAAAAAGCTCAGGCCTGCTTAGCTTAAGTTTCCTTTTTAATTAAAAAAAAAACAAAAACCTTTATTACAGAGAAGTTGCAAAAGCATTATGAAAAATTCCTATGTTTGCTTTCCAAATTTCCCAAATGTTAACATTTTTTACATTTTATCATGCTTACTTGATCATTTTCTCTCTCTCCTCTCTATACACATGCAGGCACAGGTATGTATATAAGTTTCTTTTTGAAAATTTGGGTTCAAATTGCAGACACAATGCCCCTTTAAATACTTCACTGTGTATTTACTAAAACCAAGGACATTTTTGACACATAACCGGATGTACATGGCACAAAAACACATGAAAAGATGCTCAACATCACTCATTATCAGAGAAATGCAAATCAAAACCACAATGAGGTACCATTACACACCAGTCAGGATGGCTGCTATCCAAAAGTCTACAAGCAATAAATGCTGGAGAGGGTGTGGAGAAAAGGGAACCCTCTTACACTGTTGGTGGGAATGCAAATTAGTACAGCCACTATGGAAAACAGTGTGGAGATTTCTTAAAAAGCTGGAAATAGAACTGCCATATGACCCAGCAATCCCACTTCTGGGCATACACACCGAGGAAACCAGATCTGAAAGAGACACGTGCACCCCAATGTTCATCGCAGCACTGTTTATAATAGCCAGGACATGGAAGCAACCTAGATGCCCATCAGCAGACGAATGGATGAGGAAGCTGTGGTACATATACACCATGGAATATTACTCAGCCATTAAAAAGAATTCATTTGAATCAGTTCTAATGAGATGGATGAAACTGGAGCCCATTATACAGAGCGAAGTAAGCCAGAAAGATAAAGACCATTACAGTATACTAACACATATATATGGAATTTAGAAAGATGGTAACGATAACCCTATATGCAAAACAGAAAAAGAGACTCCGGTGTATAGAACAGACTTGTGGACTCTGGGAGAAGGCGAGGGTGGGATGTTTCAAGAGAACAGCATCGAAACATGTATATTATCTAGGGTGAAACAGATCACCAGCCCAGGTTGGGTGCATGAGACAAGTGCTCAGGCCTGGTGCACTGGGAAGACCCAGAGGGATCGGGTGGAGAGGGAGGTGGGAGGGGGGACCGGGATGGGGAATACATGTAAATCCATGGCTAATTCATTTCAATGTATGACAAAAACCACTGCAATGATGTAAAGTAATTAGCCTCCAACTAATAAAAATAAATGAAAAAAAAAAAAATAACCGGATGTACATTGGCTCATATTTTTGTAAAATCTGGAAATTAACATTGATTCAGTATCACTATCTACTTTACAGATTTTATTCATATCTTGCCAGTTGTCTCTTTTCTGAGCCAGGAGCACATCAGTTGTCATGTTCCCCAAGCCCCCTCAGTATAAACACTGTCATACTTTCATCTTCTGTTTTCTTTTTCCTTCCTTTCCCTTCTCTCCCCCTCTCTTTTCTTTGACGATCTAGAACTTTTGCAGAGTACTGACCGATTATTTTGGCGAATCTCTCAAGTTGGGCTTGTCTGATTGTCTGTGATTAGATTCAGGCTTGGCAAGAACCCGAGAAGTGCTGTGTTCTTCCCAGTGTATCAGATCAGGAGGTACATGGCATTGATGGGTTTCATTACCCTTGATTTTAACTTTGGTCACTTGGTGAAGGTGGTATCTGCCAGTTTTTTTAATTTTAAAAATAAAGTTTTCCTCCCATCTAATTAATAAGTGTTTTGTGGGGAAAGACTTGGAGACTATGTAAATGTCTATTGGCTGACTATATTTTTTCACTCGCAGCAGACCTCATGGGGAGTATAACGTGTCAGTGTGACATGGTTTCTAGGCAGATCTCCTCTTCTTTAATCTTGGGTGTGTGTGTGGTAGGTGCTTGGTGTGCCAGAGTTGGAGGCACTTTTATGATTAGGAGATGGCCCATGTGAAATGGCTTGGTGGAAAACATTGGTGATGCATGAAGTTATTTTTGTTCATCATCGTCTTCAGAATAGGAAAACACACATGGGTGAATTGCAAGGAATACATACACTCAACAGTTCCTAGCTTTTACTTGCTGGAGTAAATTGCATGGCTCCTTCTCCCTGCTATCGTTTTTACTTAGAGGGTTCTAAAGAAGGATATGCAAAAGTAGCAATGTTGTAAGAATAACCCTCTTGGTGCTAAGAAAATGCTGTGGTCAGTTGGGGCACATGAGTGTGGAGAACAAGAATAGACTGGATTCCCATATGTTAGCAGTATGTTATGATTAGCTTTCAAATGACAGGGATCCACAGACTTCTAAGATGGCATTGCTATACAATAATAACACAGTTTGGCAAAAAGTGCTGGTACAGTGTTATAGCAGTTGGAAGGGTGAGTCTTAAAATGTTCTTGACTCACCAACTTTTCTCCGAGAGACCTAGGTTAAATTTGAGAAACAGCAGTCTGGAGTTAACATTCCCAAAAGCCTCTCATTAATCTGCTTAGAAATCTTTGCCAGCCCTGTGGCATTTTGGTCAAAGAGGGAGTTACCTACAGGAGCTCTTGGGAATACAAGTTCTTTACACTTTACAGCTCTTTAGCTGCGCATGCAGATACAGGCGGAGGCAGAGGAGATACTTTTCTTTCATTCTTCTCCTCCTTCCCCTAACAGAAAGTCAGAATCCTACATTTCCCATTAGAGCAGGCTTTTAAAAACAAAAAATATAAACTGTTACTCAGTGAGCCCCCATGACCTCTCCAAGTATAGTTAACATACAAGCACAACCTCTGCCTTTGCCCATTAGATTTTATCTTGAAGATATTGGCCTTCCAATCTCTTATCTTTTCTCATCCCTTTTCTGTCTTCAAATATAAAGATC